TCCTACCCCAATTGGAGGAGTTTAAGTATCTTGGGGTCTTGTTCACGAATGAGGGAAAAATGGAGCGTGAGATCGATAGGCGGATAGGTGCAGCGTCAGCAGTGAAGCAGGCGCTGTACAGGTCTGTCGTGGTGAAGAGAGAGCTGAGTCAAAAGGCGAAGCTCTCAATTTACTGATCGATCTACGTTCCTACCCTCATCTATGGTCACGAGCTTTGGGTTGTGACCGAAAGAACGAGATCTCGGATACAAGCGGCTGAAATGAGTTTTCTCCGCAGGGTGTCTGGGCTCTCTCTTAGAGATAGGGTGAGAAGCTCGATCATCCGAGAGGGACTCAGAGTAGAGCGGCCGCTTCTCCACGTCGAGAGGAGCCAGTTGAGGTGGCTTGGGCATCTGTTTAGGATGCCTTCTGGACGCCTCCCTGGTGAGGTGTTCCGGACACGTCCCACTGGGAGGAGACCCAGAGGAAGACCCAGGACACGCTGGAGGGACTATGTTTCTCGGCTGGCCTGGGAACGCCTCGGGATTCCCCCGGAAGAGCTAGCCCAAGTGGCTGGGGAGAGGGAAGTCTGGGCCTCCCTACTTAGGCTGCTACCCCCGCGACCCGACCCCGGATAAGCAGAAGAAAATGGATGGATGGATGGATGGATGGATGGATGGATGGCAGTGATCTCTTCCTCCTCCATTGATGCAATGACTGAAATGGTAAGAAATGGAGGAATTTGTCACGAGCAAATAAAACTCAGGTCCAGCGTGGCTGCGGGAGGGTCTGGAGATTTCCTAGTGGGCTGGTCTGATGTGTGGGCTGTAGACCCAGCTCTCTCTGTTGTTTTTTTTTTTTTTTTTAGATCTTTTTATTAACAACATATAAACACAGAACACCGCTGCGGCGGACGCTGCCAGCGCTCGCTGCCAGCGCTCGCTGCCAGCGCTCGCTGCCAGCGCTCGCTTTTTTTATTTTTTCCGACCTGTCAATCAATCCAGTAGGCGTGTCAGCAAATGACCAATCGCTCGGGGTGCTCGGGGTGTACGCTGGATTATCATGTCTGAACCCTCTGCGTACCGTACATGCGTACGTACGCATGAACGGACATACGCGGCAGTATACTGGAGGCCTTACTGCCGGCAATGCTGTATTATGAAATTCTTTATCAAAGGGTTCGTGAACGATCGGCACCAGATATTCAGACAAGAGGAAAAATAAAACACAGAGACTGTTACTGCTAGGAATAATATTGTCATTTATTTACCTGCCACAGAAAACAGCCAAGCAAAGTCATGTACAGTTGGTACACTCTTAACACACAAATTGATATGAGTATCTCTCACCGTGACAAATGATTGGGAAGCCTTTCGATCCAAATGACAGAACTCACATCACCTACTGCATGGCACCGCGCGCTGGTCCACACAAGACTTCTAAGTTCCCTTGCCTGTCACACCTCCTTTATACCTCTCCCTGACCGGAATCGCGTGAGAGCAGTGAAAAACAAGTTTGATGGTTGTCAGGAGGACAGATCTAATTAAAACATGTTTTTCCATCATCAAAGCGATGGCTCATAAAAACATGTCCTTCCAGTAAGGAGCGCCGTGACCGTAAAAGCGGGCCAAAGCTTCCAGGTCAAAAGCACTGCTAATGCTTATTAAAGCATTCCTAGAGACTGCACCCCTCCGTCCCTCTGCAAACCATCAAAGAGTGTCCCAAATATTAATAAAGGCAACATAAATCATTCCACCCTTTGCCTTTATGACATGTAAAACAAAATACAATCCCTAATATGTGAATAACACGTTGTATAAGTGTGTTTTCAAACTACATGTAAATGAGTGTAAAATAAGTATAAATTGACATAAAAGCATCAAAATAATCATTCCTATATCATTCCACCCTTGCCTTTTATGGCAATTTAGACATTTAATTCTGAAAAGTAACACACACAAAATGTATATGTTTGAATAGGCATAAAGGCAACTTAATATATTTTTATATCAAATGCGAACTAAGTGCTGACACCAGTCATAGAGGGACCTAACAGCCCGTGTCAAAGGGCCTGGTACCCTATACTCCCAGAGTACCCCCCACAGGGCCCCCCACAGGGCCCCTCGAGGGACGCGGTCGATCGCCTTCTGTAAGTCCACAAAGCACATATAGATTGGTTGGGCAAACTCCAACGCACCTTTCAGGACCCTGCTGAGGATGTAGAGCTGGTCCAGTGCTCCACGACCAGGACGAAAACCCCACTGCTCATCCTGAATTCAAGATTTGGCTATCCAACTGACCCTCCTTGATAAAACCCCTAAATAGACTTTACCATGGAGGCTTAAGAGCCTCTGAGCAAACTGTTACAGAGGCAAACTCTGTAACAGTTTGCCTCCCAAACTGTTAGAGCCATTTTATGTTGGTAGTGAGTAACACCAACAACATAAAATGAATCTAACAGTTTGCCTGTTTTAGACATTGTGGATCTCAGTCACAGGGTTCATTTCAGGGCTTATGATTCTCAGTTGCTATTCGTGTTTGTTTTTATTGATCAATATGTTCACTACCATTACCACCCTCACATAATTACTGCCACACTAGGTTTTTATTAGTTCATTCAAAACTCAGTGTTGACTTGGATTGGTCTGCCTGATAGGCTCAATCTGGAAAGAAGAAAAAAAAATAAAAAAATAAAATAATATATATATATATATATATATATATATATATATATATATATATATATATATATATATATATATATATATATACAGGTCCTTCTAAAAAAATTAGCATATTGTGATAAAGGTCATTATTTTCCATAATGTAATGATAAAAATGAAACTTTCATATATTTCAGATTCATTGCACACCAACTGAAATATTTCAGGTCTTTAATTGTTTTAATACTAATGATTATGGCATACAGTTTATGAAAACCCAAAATGCCTGTCCCAAAAAATTAGCATATCATGAAACGGTTCTCTAAACAAGCTATAAACCTAACCATCTGAATCAATGACGTAACTCTAAACACCTGCAAAAGATTCCTGAGGCTTTTAAAAACTCCCAGCCTTGTTCATTACTCAAAACAGCAATCATGGGTAAGACTGCCGACCTGACTGCTGTCCAGAAGGCCATCATTGACACCCTTAAGCAAGAGGGTAAGACACAGAAAGAAAGTGCTTATATATATATATATATATATATATATATATATATATATATATTTTTTTTTTTTTTTTTTTTTTTTACTCAAGGATTCAAGGTTCTTTATTTGTCACTCGCACCCCATGTGGTACATGTGGTGGAACGAAATTATGTACACAGGGTCCCAGTTACATCCAGCAATAAAATGTAAAAGAAAAACAATAATAAAATCTAAGATATGAACTAAGAAAAACATCAACTAAAAATACACTAAGCACTAGTAGCATAAAAACATTATGCCAAACAGCAGCATGAACATTAGTCTGTGTGAGCAGATGAGTATGAATGAACACAGTAACATGAAACAGATCAGCAGCAACATGATGTGATTTTTCACAGTGATTATCCTGGTTAGATATTCATGAGTCTTAACAGCTTCAGGGTAGAGGCTGTTCCTCAGTCTAGTGGTTCTACACTTAATGCTCCTTAACCTCCTTCATGAGGAGAACGGGGCAAAAAGTGTGTGTGCTGGGTGAGTGGGGTCCTTCATGATGCAGGTGGCCCTCTTCCTGTGTCTAGAGGTTTATATGTCTGTGATGGTGGGGAGGCTGACTCCAACAGTCTTCTGTGCAGCCTTCACCACTCTCTGCAAAGCTTTTCTTTCTGCAGCTGTGCAGCCTCCATGCCACACGTTGATGCTGGAGCACAGGATGCTCTGTGATACTGTATGTCTGCACCTTCATTCCCCATTGAGCTGCAGCTCATTTGATTTCTAATTTCTCCTTTTATTTTTTCAACTACTTAATATTTGGTTCATTTTGGAAGATTTTGTGTCAATGTAATAAAAAAATAAAGTGTCTTTCATGCTTATAGCTGTGCACTGTTCTTCCCAATATTAAACATTCGTACAGACATTTCATCATCATCATCATCAACTTTATTTATAAAGTGCTTTAAGACCAGCCACAGCTGAAACAAAGTGCTGAACATGAGTAATAAATAAAATAAAAGAAAGCATAAAAATAAAGTGACAAAGCTAAGCACACAATTAATTAAAAACTCAATTTAAAACACAATAAAACGACGAGTTAAACAGATAAAATATATAGGGTAAAGACGGGTTTTTCTCAGGCGTTCCCAGCAAACCCTCACTACACGTTTGGGTCTACCTGGTTTGTCAGGCATCTTCCCCTACCATCTGATCCAACTCACTACCAGGTGGTGATCATTTGACACCTGTCTTCACCCGAGTGTCCAAAACAAACGGCTGCAAATCAGATGGCACGACTATGAAGTCAATCATCGATCTACGACCTAGGGCATCCTGGAGCACTTGCAAGTGCACTTATGGACACCCATATGTTTGAATATGGTGTTCATGATGGACAAACTATGATTCATAATATCTTTTTTTTACTGTAGGAATATGTTCCAAAGAGCAGGTTTGTAACCTTCACTGTCCAACGTGATTCAGCTGGATAATAAAAAGGAAAAAAATGCTCAAAGGATATTGAGATGCTATAAGTAGTATCTCAGTTTGTTCAAGTCTGGATTTACAATTCTGTCAGTGTGAAGAAAATTACTTTACCATGATCAATATTTGCATTAATAATTTCCAAAAATAAAATTGGTTTGGTACATTTTATTTCTTTGTTGTATTCAAACTTTTGAATTTTATAAACATGAAAATAAATCTTGGAGTTTAGTTGTTCTACAGTGTTCTTAAGTTAACAATTGTCTATTTAAGTTCTTGACAACTATTCTGTTTTGTCAAGGAATATTTAGTTTTGTGGTTGTTAGTATTGGTAAGTACACTAGTAGCACAAGCATGTTGATGCATAGACCTTGATGCTATTTATTGCTTTTCACAGTCCCCAGTGCCCCACCCAGAGAGGTTACAGTGAAGCCAAGCAACAGCTCCAGCATCAGTGTCTCCTGGGATCCCCCACCCAGCGAGATGCAGAATGGCGTCATCCAGGAGTACAGGGTAAACACACATTGCCCAATGCGACTCACACTTTCAGACACATGAGCAAGGTTTATATGATAGTAATGAGTTCTACACAACAAGACTTGACAGGTAGAACCTAAGTAACATGATTTTATGCTGTTTACTCAATGAAACTTCTGTATGATGAGCCAAGTATTTGTTTTTTGCTAAAGTGTTTCACACAACGCAGAGAATAAACCATGAAAACATTCAAATATAGAGACAATCATAATTTACTACAAGAGTAAATGGTTATAGTTAAATAGTTTAAATAAAAACATCAGTTTTTAAAATTAGGACCATCCAGAGGACCTGACTTAACTTAGTTGGACTCATCCCATAAACTACCAACATTCATTATTCTCCCCCCCTCAGCAAAGGGGGCTATCAGCATACTACTTGTTCTATTTGGATTGTCAGTGACAGAGGTGTACTTGTTACACAAATGTAAACCTAGGTGCTATGTTGTGCATCTCCTTCATGGGAGTTTTGAATTCCTTTAACAACCAGCATAATTGTGTTTTTAAATAACTCGTGAATATTTATTTGCCATAATGTTACACATCATGGCAAAACACTAGATAAGAATGTTGCTCCTTCAGAGAAAAAAAACTCTTTCTTGTCTCCTGTTTTGTAATGAGATGTGGGCAAAGGAAGTGAGGATGATGGTGTTGTTGGATGTGAATGTCCAAGATGTTACAAGAGAGGTTAACAAGTGCCTGTTTCTAACCAAGCAGGTGTGAATACCTGATGATAGTTAATGCCATATGTCCACACGAAGCTCTTGGGAGTGTTAAGTCCCAGATGAGAAATACAATAAATATTTTCTGTGAAAATCTGATGTAAAGAGCAGAATTAAAAACAGAAGACAGAGAAAGAGGAGGGAGATATGAGAGGAACAGAGACCCAACATGTGAATTATAGTCATTTTCCTTTACAAATGAGTGCAACGTTTGCATCCCAAGGTGGAGTCATGCATCAGCGGTGTTGGTGTCTGAAAATAATGTACAGTATCAATGATATAGTATGTCACTGTGGCCAGTTTAGGAGTGAGGAAGTCAGCAAGAGAGGAAAAATAAGCCTCAACTGTAGAAAACCAAGAAATTAAGTTATTGGCGTTTTTATTATTAGTATTGGAACGCACAACCTGCAGGAAAAAAATGTTTTTAGAATGATAACGCTAACAAATGTATATGGTGCATTGTCAAGAGTAAAGTTGGGTTTTATTATTATTATTTTATTATTTATTATTAATTTTTATTGGTTCGGACACAGGGATGATGGGAGTGAAGGCATATGGAAGGTGGAAGAAGAGAAAAGATGGAAAAGGGGGTGATGTACAAATGTAATGTTAAAACAGTAGTTATCAGAGCTATTACCATCCATCCATTGTCGTTATCCACTTCTTCCTTTTCGGGTCGTAGGGGTCACTGGTGCCCATATCCAGCAGTCACTGTATGAGAGGTGGGGGGGGGGGGGGGCACCTTGTCATGTCTCCAGTCCATCACAGGGACGTCTGTACAGGTTTTCCGTTCATCACAGGGACAACTGGACATATCTCCACTTCATCACAGGGACACATAGAGACAAACGAGAAAAACAACCATTCACTCTCACTCACACCTAGGGACAGTTTAGAGTTACCAATCAGTCCAACATGCATTTTTTTGGTCTGTGGGAGGAAACCGGAGTACCTGGAGAAAACCCATGCAGCACGAAGAGAATATGCAAACTCCACCCAGAAAAGTCCCGGACCAGCATTTGAATCGGCGATCTTCTTGCTGAGAGGCAACAGCTCTATCAACGGAGCCACCAGCAGCTAATTGATTTCTCTAAATTGTATGTTATTAATTACTTTTTAATTTTTTATTGCTGTCATTTCCTTATTCTTTTTGGATCTGTTTGGAGATATAAGATATTGTTGTTCCCATTGGGGTGACTTCTGGCTGTCACTCTTGGCATGTAACGTTCTGGGATGACCAGCAGGACAAGGTGGGTGTGTGTGGAGGCATCCAGCTATTGTATAAAAAAAACACTCAAACCACCAGCCCTTATGGTAGGACAGGGTTTACCTTATCATTGTTAAGTCTCAGCCCTTTTAGGTCACCAGAAAACACATCTTTCTGTGTTCCTTGTGCTGCTTGAGAGTAGAGTCTTTCAGAGCACATCTATATCAGGGAAAGGTGTGTTGCAAGTGCAGAGGTGTTCAGGCTACAGTGGTTTCTGCTTGGTACGAACGTTATGGGCTTTCAGTCTCACTCCTTTTACCCGCTCTCCAGCAAATCAGAGAAGTTTATTTATCAAGATTATGTGTATTTTCAATATAATTTATTTTACCTACTCTCCAGTAAAGGGCCCTGCATACTCCATCTGATGCAGGGAAATTGGCCAGGCCCTTAAGTCAGCAAAAGTTCATTCAGAGATTCTTTGTTGTGGGCGCTGTTGGTTAGACTGTGATGATACAGGATCATTCTGCAATAACTGGCATGAACCCACATCTCTCTTTTAGCCACTTTTACTGCTGTGTGCATCATAAGTAGTATCTTGAAAAGACCGTGCCAGCGAGAGGCCTTCCAGGTTTTCATCTGATGTAATTCATTACAATAAGTTCTCCTGGTTTCAGGTTGTGGAGTGACCCCTCAGCTGGTCTGGGCAGGGCTGCCCTTACCAGCCCCCTTTGGTTGGCGTTAGTTGTTAGTATACCTGTTTGACAGGATAAGCAGAGAAGCTGTTAGTGGACTGTAGTAACATGTCCACCATTCCTCCTTTAGACACATAGTCATGCCCATGTGTCAGTTTAGTTTAAGGGCTAGAAATGGGAAAGGGTCTTGTATCAGGGCCCGTCCAGATGTTGTTAAAAAAGGTGCAGCCATCAGCTGACCCTTTCCTTCATCCATCATAGGTGCAGAAGAGTTGTAGGGCAGGAAGATCAGACCAGGAAGGGGGAGATGGAACTGGTTGGAGGGAAGGAAGGATAGGGTGTTGAGAGGAGCACAGCACAACATGCTTAGTGTTAGTCAATAAAAATAACTTTTCCTTTTGGATCCAATAGAACTTTATTCCACCATGCTCATCTCAGCCAGACTCACAGACACCACAGAAGAAGAGTGTAAAACACCTTAATATGCGCTACTGGCATGACAGTGCCCCCTAACGGATTGGCATGTAAACTAAATAAAACAAAGGAGTAACAATCTCCCACTTTTCTTTAAAAAAAATTTTTTTTAAATATATATATATATATAAATAACAATGCTTGTATAACTCATGGTAAAGCACAGCCATTAAGGATTTTGTTAGAACAGTTTCAACGTGAAAGAGTGTGAAACAACTCGTGAATTAATTTATTGAACAATACAACGTCCTTCATAAAGAGCCTTAAGTAGTGAGGTTGTAGATGCTCCCTCTTTTGTTAAGCAGTCTGCAAGTTGATCTTTTGTTTGAGACCACAACACTTGATGAACTTTCATTGTTTGAACCAGTTCTTTAATCATATTGATTTCCAAGCTTATCCTTTTCTCTGCAACAAACTTAGTTGACTTTAGTGCATCATCAAGAGAGAAATTATCAGTGACACAGACTATGGGTGGAGGACAAGCAGTACTACCAGCATTGAGTTTAGAAAACAGTGTGGAAAGAAAACTGGCATTATCAATCCCCTCAGACATAGCTAGTGTTTCACCTGCAAGTGTGCTTCTGACAATTCTCTTAATTCTCTTTGACTGCCATGAAATGGGAGAAAGCTGCCCATTTTCACCCATAAAACAATGAGGTTCCCACCCTGAAAGATCTCCAAAAGATGCATCTGTGAATGTAACCATCTTTAAGTTACTGTTTTCTCCAAGGTGTTGAAAATTCAGTTCAACTGACTTGGCCTTGAGTTTACACACAACTCTGTTTGCTTCACTGATGGTCTGCACTGTAGCCTGTTTGAGACTAGATGCTAAATTACTAGCATCAAACATGACATCAGGCCTGCTCTGATTTGTAACCCACAGAAGTTGGCCTATCTTTGATCTGAGCTGCTCTCTCTCCTTTTCAGTGAGGGGCGAAGCTGACTCTACTGCTTGTGAGGGTGAGAGGTGTAGGGGCTGCAGGTGCTGAATGTATGTGTCTTGGTGCATGTGTACCGTCTTACCCTTAGCAACAAGATCCACACCCACATAGGAAAAACTATTATGCGCTTCACGACCGACATTAAACTTTGACCTTAGGTGAGGTATGACTGATTCTGAAAACATGTGTGATCCACCCCATATAAAATCATCAACATGACAAGCAAGTACACCAGTTACATTCTTGCCCTCATTCAGCCAGTAGAAAACTGCAGGGTCGACCTTAGACATGATGCCGCCTGCTTCAATCATGATGCTTTTTACCCTGTTATACCAATACAGTGAGGCATCAGCTAATCCATACACACATTTTCTCAGTTTCCAAAGCATGCCTGTGCTATTGGCCTCTGGGGAAGGTTTGATGAAAATGTCTCTGGACAGTTCCATTCCTTGTAAGAAGGCAGATTTAATGTTCATTGAGTGAAGGTTCCATTGTTCTTAACATATAACTGCCACCAGGAGTCTCAGTGACTCTGAAGCGCAGGTTGGTGAGTCCTTTTGTAGATCAGAAACTTGTAGCTCCTCAAATCCTCGTGCAACAAGCCTTGCTTTTGGTAATAATCCATTTTCACTCTCTTTCAGAGTGCACACCCAATGAGTGGAGACACACTTTTGTCCTTTGTCCTCAATTTCTTCAAACACTTGATTTTGTTTCCAGCTTTTTATTTCATTTTCCTTGGCTTCATAAAATGACATGTCCTTAATCACAAAAACATCCTTGTTTGTATCCGTATCATGAACATTTCCCTGGACATGAAGATCCTCCAACTGTGACAGATAAGCTGATTCACTGTTGCCAGCAACTTTTGCAGGCTCAAGCAGCTCCAAGTTATACCAGTTTTTGTATTTCCCAGTTGCTTTGCTGGCACGTCTCAACACTTT